AGTCTGACTCCCAGCAGCCTTGCTTGGGGAGGCTAGTCCTCTGCCTGGCACCGAGACCTTGACCCCCCATGTGCCTAGGGCGGACACAGGGCTGCACATGAAAGATAGTCCCTATCCAGGGTCTGTTAAGTACCCCATGAAGGGCCGGAGTAACCATGTTTTGAAAAAGTGCCTCCATTCGGAGAGGCAGGCCTGACTTCCGTAAAGCAGCCTCACTCTGGGGAAACAGAAAGTTATAACGGAACAGCTCACTAGCGTTCACCATGTAAGGAAATCCCCTGGTCTGACCCAATCAGGAACAACCACGTTTGATCAGGAATACCAGAGGTGACCCCAGCCAATCCACTGTTACCCCACACCCCTCGATGACGTAACCCGGCTTTAAAAGAGGCTCCCAAGCACCACTCGGGGCCTTCCTCTGCCCTCCGCTGTGTGGTTGAGTAGACGGGGTCCCTGCTGCAGCTTGTACTTACGAAATAAACCTTGCTCTTGGCTGGCGCCACAGGCGGAGGATTAGCCTACTGAGCCCCGGCGCCAGCACACCGGGTTCTAGTCCCGGTCAGGGTGCTGGTTCTGTCCCGGTTGCTCCTCTTCCAGTCCAGCTCTCTGCTGTGGCCCGGGAGCGCAGTGGAGGATGGCCCAAGGCCTGGGCCCTGTACCCTATGGGAGACCAGGAGAAGCACCTGGCTCCTGGCTTTGGATTAGTGCAGTGCGCCGGCTGCAGTGGCCATTGGGGGCTGAACCAACAGAAAAAAGGAAGACCTTTCTCTCTGTCTCTCTAATGTCCACTCTGCCTGTCAAAACAAAACAAAACAAAACAATAACAAAAAAACCAAACCCTTGCTCTTGCATTTCAGTGTGTTCAAGTCTCAGGTGGCGTGTGGGGATCCAACGATCTGGGTACAACACCCCACATTTCCTATTCAGAGAGATCTGTGCACCTGCCGTGTTTTACTTGTTGATCTGAGCCAGATCCCCAGGTCTCCCTCCTCGCCTTATCTTCTGGTTACTCTTCAAGGGCACACGTTAAGCAGATACCAGGGAACCATCTGTGTACTCAGAATGAGAAAGGTATTCCACAAAAAGTGTACCCAAATCATGCCTTTCATTTGATTTATTTATTTGAAAGAGTTATAGAGGCACAGGAAGAAAGAGAGGGAGAGAGGGAGAGAGGGAGAGAGAGAAAGAGGGAGAGAGAGAGAGAGAGAGGGAGAGAGGGAGGGAGAGAGAGAGAGAGAGAGAGAGAGAGAAATCTTGCTCCGCTGTTTCACTTCCCAGATGGCTGCAACAAAGGACTGGGCCAGGCCGAAGCCAGGAGCCAGGAGCTTCTTCCATGTCTCCTACGTGGGTAACAGAGGCCCAAGCACTTGGTCCAACTTTCACCACTTTCCCAGGCACACTAGCAGGGAGCTGGATCAGAAGAGGAGCTGCTGGGACACAGATCAGCACCAGCTGGGACGCTGGCATTGGAGGCAGTGGCCTTACCTGCTACATTACAATGTCAGCCCCAATGCAGTTTATTTATTTATTTATTTTTGGAGGACAACACATTTAGTTTTATTTCAATCAGATCACAACAACTTCTTTTTCAACTGCTACCAAGTGCATCTACAATTTTGTATTACTGATCCACTTTAAGAAGGCTTCCCGTGACATAACACCAAGCCTCTTTATTCAACAGAGGAGTAGTCCCAAATTCTTTCTCAAAAATAAAAATTCCATTCCAGTAAATGGTACATACATGAAATTACAGTAAAGCAGACACTTATAAGGACAGCCAGGAAATTGTCCAAGAGTTTATTAGAAAGAATGTAGACACTTAAAAATTCCCCACTCTTATGAGCATAAATTGAGGCTTTCAGCCCTGGTATAAGCTGAATCAATTAAAAAAAAAAAAAAAAGAAAAAAATCCCCAATAGTGTGTTAACATTTTCTCACTCATTTGCCGTGCTGACAGTGCAAGTACAAATCTGGTCTAAATGTACAGACTTTCAACTCAAGCAACAATGTACAGCTTTCTTCATCCTCCATGCTAAGCGGGGCAAAAGCTGAAGGGCCAAACAATACCAAATGTATGGGCTTCAAAAACCATCCAAGTCAGGGCATTCACTAGTTTTAGCTAAGATACGTCCTGAAACCCTGACAGCTGGTCACTTACATGGAATAGTGTGAAGTGAACTTTTTGAAAAATACACTTTAGTGGAACACTCCTTGAAGGATACACCAGAGGAAGAACTGTTTATCAGTTTAAGGTGTCAGCCAGTTTGTTTCAGCCACTTTTTTTTTTTAAGATTTATTTATTTATTTGAAAGAGTTACATAGAGAGAGAGAGGGAGAGGCAGAGAGAGAGCAAGAGAGTGAGAGAGAGAAAGAGAGAGAGAGAGAGAGATCTTCCATCCGCTGATTCACTCTCCAATTGGCTGCAAGGGCTGGAACTGTGCTGATCCAAAGCCAGGAGCCAGGAGCTTTTTCCAGGTCTCCCACATGGCTGCAGGGGCCCAAGGACTTGGGCCATCTTCTACTGCTTTCCCAGGCCACAGCAGAGAGCTGGATTGGAAGTGGAGCAGCCGGGACTCGAACTGGTGCCCATATGGGATGCCGGCACTGCAGGAGGTGGTTTTACCTGCTACACTACGGTGCTGGCTGCTCAGCCACTTTTGAGTCCACGTACTAAATCCTAAAATTTACTTATGTTTCCCTAAGCTGAGCACTTCCTATCACATCAGTATCTGTGTTATGAAGAAGTAAAGGAGACTTAAGTGAAGTGGTTTTGTGTGTCACAACTGCTATATCAATTATCTAGGACCTCAATAGCTCCATGGAAGTCTGGGAGTATTCATGCATAAGGTTATTGTCTTAGCTGACTGAAAGCCCCAAATGATGCTACGTATCAACCCTTAGTGAAGCCTATAAAAAAAACAAAATGAGTTGAAAAATGGGTCAAAGGAGGCAAATACAGCATCAACTCAGGAATTCTCTCAATCATGAAATCTTGCAGAGAAATCTCTTTCTTTCTCAAAGTCCAGGTGACGACTGTACTCTACTCCAGGTCTGGCATTTTCTCATGATCCGCTCCATCCACTTCTGATAAGTCTGCATCCTCACCACCACCCAGGCGGTTCGTCATCTCAGAGAAACAATCAAAATTAGACGTGTCTCCATCTGAATCATCTTCCAGTCTTTCCACACTAAGCCAAGCGAGCCCCCCCCCCCCCCCCCCCAGCCCCTGGCTTGGCCATGGCCGTAGCTGGCCAGATTCTCCTTTTCCTAACCACGTCAAATTGATCTCCTGTTCTTTTGTGCTTGGAAAATCATTTGGATGAATACAATGAAAAAGGTCAATTTCATTTAGATGCTTAAAATGACCGCTTCTTCCAAGACAACTGAATGCTAGTTTGGATTTTTCAGAATTTACATGGACATCTTTACTGTCTTCAACACAAAATTCAATGGAGACATAGTCCCTTCGATCATACCACTTTGCAGAGCTGGCTGGATCGTGCACGGGGCAGTGGTCCAGCAGCGGGTGGGCGGGCCTCGCTGGCGGCGGGGACTCCAGCGTGTTCTCCAGGGTCACGGCCTCTTCTCGCTCCCCTCTGGAGGCGGTAGCTGCGGGCTCCACCCCAGAATGCCCCGCGGGAGAAGAGGAAAGAGTCTGCATTTTAAATGCAACTTCGTGTCTTCATAAACAGATGCCAGAGGTTAAAGGTCAGTTTCCCACTGGGGCTAACCCCGGTCCCCATCACTGAACTTGCCGCTGGGCGCCCAGCCTCCCCCTTGCTGCTCCGACCCACATCATGGATGGCACTGTCACGGTGGACATGCGGAACTGTCGGAGTGCAGTACATGTTTTCCTTGCTTAGAGCCTTCCACGGCTTCTCCCTGTTCCTAGGAGCCCTGGCAGGACTGCATCCAGAACGGCTTGCCCAGCCCTCCGCGCTGGGCCTCATCGTTGCTGATTCTCCCCTGGGCTGCCTGCTCTTCCCTCGCAGCCCTTGCTCGCCCCTCAGACGGGCACCATCTCTCCTCCTGCGTGAGTCTTGCCCTGGGTCTCCCTCTCTCTGCGGCCGTTTCTCCCAGGGAAGCCAACAACAGAACTTTATATACTAGTGGTGATAGAGACAGCTTTTTCTTAAAACACAATCAAAAAGTGTTCATTGAAGCTTATAGACATTTGGTTAAAACCAAGCAGTTGTTTTGGACTTGGATCTTCTTTCTCTCTTTCCTTTCTTCCTTTATTTCTGTCTTTTGAGGCATGATTTATCACTGGCATCATTGCCAGTGTCTGGTGATGATAAAAAGCAGTCAGAATTGCAGTTGGCTCAAGGCACTGTCTTATTAGCTGCTCCCACCACCCTCAGCTTTGGAATGCCACTACTCGGGACTGAAAGAAAAAGGTCAGAGTTGGGAACTTGGGAGCTGAACACACTGGCCTGCCTTTATTCTGCGCCGTCACTCAGTCACTCAACAGGGTCTCAGTGGGCTCGTGCTGCGTGCCAGTCACTGCATGAGGTGCTGGGAGTACAATGATGGATAAAGACGCAGTCGGGGGCCCAAGGGATTCACAGCCTAGTAGGGGATGTCGATAAGTAAACAGACAAGTAGAAACAGGTCACAGGGCTGAAACTGGGGCTCATATGCACACACAGATGCCCCGCTTGGTTAGGATGGGCGCCCCAGAGGGGCTGGCATTGAAGCTGAGACCCAGTTGTCTCCAAGCCCACGCCTATGCTTCTGTCAGTCTGCTGCTGTCTGTTTCCTCAGGGCTGGCTGCACCAGGGTTATCCTCACATGTTCCTCCCCAGAATGACCGGGCACAACCCCAGGTTCAGGCCTTGACTGGCGCTCCCTGAACGGTGAGGATGGATACCAGGTTATTTCTTGTTGTTAATGTAGGAAAGTTTAATCTGATATTTGTGTCCTTATACTTATGGCATTCTTATTAAGACTAGGAAGCTAGGATACATTTCCTAGAATACTGACAATTTTACAAATCCTTGTAGTGTTCAAGTCTTATGTTTTACTTGGTTTATTAAGTCATCTTTTTTAATTTTGGAAAGAATCATTAAAATAGGCATTAGACAGAGAGAGAAGGAGAGGCAGAGAGAGAGAGAGAGAAAGAGGGAGAGAAAGAGAGGGGTCCTCCATCCTCTGGCCCACTTCCCAATTGGCTGAAACAGCCAGAGCTGTGCTGATCCAAAGCCAGGAGCCAGGAGCCAGGAGCCAGGAGCTTCTTCTGGGTCTCCCATGTGGTTGCAGGGGCCCAAGGACTTTGGCCCTCTTGTACTGCTTTCCCAGGCCATAGCAGAGAGCTGGATCAGAAGTGGAGCAGCCGGGACTCGAACCGGCGCCCGCCCCAGGATTCTTTTTTAAAAGCGAAGCTGTGGCAGCGTTGATCCCGGTGACAGTTCTATGATTGTGTACAGTCATGATGTGCTTTCAGAGACTTCTGGCCACCCTCCTTCTTAGCTGCGTGCTGCTCAGAGCTCCAGGCAGAAGTCTATAGAGACCCCTTCCATCTTCTTCCTGTACAGCTCATCCAACCTGTGGCTCTGGGCCACGGTGAAGTGGTTCTTCCAGTCCCCCACGGTTCCTAGGAGGGAGAAGCCCAGACAGGAGTGTCATTCTAGGTTGGCAGGCTCAGCAGCCCTGAGTAAAGCAGCTGAGTGCCCACAGTGGGCCTGGCCTGTCACCACTCCTCTTCAGTGGGTACCCGTCCACCTGCAGCTCTCTGCTCTGAGAAGCAGCTCTCAAGGGCCCTGTGCAGGGAGGTGGTCTAACCTGAGCCAGCCCCACACCCCTGGTGTATGCCCACGATAGACACGACACAGACGTGAAAACGAATGAATTGCAGCCACACAGCCTGAGCCAAAACTCCAGAAACAAGAAATCACATGCTATATATTCCAATATATGATGTCATGAGCAGGCGAAATCAAACTACAGGGGTAGTGATTAGAATAGTGGCTAACACTGTGGGTAGAGATTGACTGGACAAGGGCATGAAAGAGAACTTTCTAGGGTGATGAAAATGTGGGGTGTCTTGACTGGAGGGGCTATATTCTTGAAGTGTAGACTTAAGATCTATGTGTTTTTTAATGTAGATTACAAAAATTATTTTGGGGGCCTGGCAGTATGGTGTAGTGGCCATATGGGTACCAGTTCATGTGCTGGCTGCTTGCTAGTGTGCCTGAGAAGTCAGCAGAGAATGGCCCAAGTGCTTGGGCCCCTGCATCTACATGGGAGACCCAGAAGAAGCTCATGGCTTCAGTCTGGCCCAGTCCTGGCTGTTGGAGCCATTTGGGAAGTGAATCAGTGGATGGAAAACATTCACGCTCTCTCTCTTTTCCTGTAATTCTGCCTTTCAAATAAATAAAATAAATCTTTAAAAAAAGAATTTGCGAAAATATGAATGAGATACTATTTTTCACCAGGCACTAACTTAAAATAAATTTTAAGTAGCTGAATACCCCTTCCTTCCTTCCTTCCTTCCTTCCTTCCTTCCTTCCTTCCTTCCTTCCTTCCTTCCTTCCTTTCTTCCTTTTTTATTTTGACAGGCAGAGTTAGACAGAGGGAGAGAGAGAGAGAGAGAGAGACAGACAGACAGACAGAGAGAAAGGTTTTCCTTCCATTGGTTCACCCCCTAAATGGCCACCACGGCCAGCGCGCTGCACCGATCCAAAGCTAGGAGCCAGGTGCTTCTCCTGGTCTCCCATGCGGGTGCAGGGGCCAAGGACCTGGGCCATCCTCCACTGCCTTCCTGGGCCACAGCAGAGAGCTGGAGCAACCGGGACAGAACCAGCACCCCGACTGGGACTAGAACCTGGAGTGCTGGCGCCGCAGGCAGAGGGTTAGCCTAGCGAGCCATGGCGTCGGCCTGAATACCTTTTTCTTATTGATGCCTCTATTGGAAAATTCATGATAAGACAATCGGGAAATCGGAACTTATGTGCAAAGATGTTGACTGTGGTGCTGACCCTTCCACTCCATCCCTGCCCCAGGTCTGGACTCATAGGGTCTTCCCAGGCATTTGTAGGTCGCACTTCCTTTGTTGTTCCATGTGAATCCTCACAAGAAGCCCCTTACATCGGGGTTAGCTTTAGGGACTCTCTATTGCCTGCAACTAACACCTGAAAAACACCCCCAGAGAGTTCTCTTCTCCACGAGGGTGCGGTTGCCAGCTTTATTAGCGGCAGTGAATTGTGGACATGTGCTGTGTTGGACTGAATGAAAACTAATGTCATCCTGCTGAATACAGGCAGGATGCTGGAGAGAAGTGGAGGGTCTGGTCACGCGGCCCCACACACCTTTTCTCATGAAGGGGGAAATGGACTGGTCCATGATGGACTTGGGAACTGTGGAGCGGTTGATCATGGGGTTGTCTTTCATCTTCTCAAAGGAGGTCTCCTGGACAATTTTATCCAGCACAGTCTCGTCCAAGTGCTTTCCCATGAACTGCGCCACCTTCCGAATTTCACACTTTGGGTCCTGTGGATAGGAATGGAGGGGATCCGAAGGATGACTGTGAATTCTTGGAGACATCCCCTGCCTCCAGGAAATACAGCCTTCAATCAGCCTTGGAGTCCTCTGTCCCCCGCCAGAGGAGGTTGTGAAGGGGCCTTCACTCACCTTCTTGATGTCTTCATAGAAGAGGAAGAGAATCTGGTATCTGCCTTTCACTTCCCACCAACCTTTCACGTGCTCAAACCAGGAACCCCAAGCCACTGTGACAACACAGGGAAGAAAGAAGTCTACTTAAGGATCATCCAAAGCCTTCCAAGCCTCGGGGATTCTGCTGACCTCTAGTGCTTAGAGAGTAAGAAAAGCACAGTCAGGGTGCCGGTGCTGTGGCGCAGCAGGTTAACGCCCTGGCCTGCAGTGCTGGCATCCCATATGGGTGCTGGTTCTAGTCCCGGCTGCTCCACTTCCGATCTAGCTCTCTGCTGTAGCCTGGGAAAGCAGTAGAGGATGGCCCAAGTCCTTGGACCCCTGCACCCACGTGGGAGACCAGGAGGAAGTTCCTGGCTCCTGGCTTCGGATTGACCCAGCTCCGGCTGTTGAGGCCAATTGGGAGTGAACCAGCAGATGGAAGACCTCTCTCTCTCTCTCTCTCTCTCTGCCTGTCCTCTCTCTGTAACTCTGACTTTCAACTAAATAAACCTTAAAAAAAAAAAAAAAGCACCGTAAGGATCAGACATACCCTGAAGAATTTCTTGCTCTGTTTGATTCTGAGGGTGGTGCAGATTGGGAAAGCCTTGGGTTATTTGTCCCAACAGGCTACCCAAGGTGAGCAAAGGCTTCTGGATGGAGTGGGAGATGTTTACGGAGACTGGTGGGCAGACACTGTGAAAGGAGCAGCCTGCACCACCCAGTCTGTCTGCGGTAGAAGCTGCATATAAGGAAGCACATGGCATTCTAGGACTCAAGTGCTATTTATGGTTCTCTAGAGCTGGCCGAGAGGCAGTGAGAATTTCCTTTACCTTTGCCGTTGATGAAGGTTTCAAAATACTCTTCCCAGGTGCCGGGGTCCGGGAGCACTTGATTCATCCTTTGGAAATGGTAGTAGGAAACCATGCAGTCTTTCACGTTTCGAGCGACATAAAGGAACTTTGTGGGAGGGAGAGAGGTGGGTGAAAAAAGGTCCAAGTGGATTCTTGCCGACTTGTTAAAGTGAAAGGTTGTGACCTGTAGGTACTCCTGCACCCCGGCCTGCTTGCACTGCCTTATCTATTCTTTCCTGCAGAGACCACAGAGAGGCTTTTGGGTCTGTTCTGTGAGCCCGCCCGCGGCCTGCAGCCAGCCTCCCAGGGGGAGCCGCCGACATGTGCTGCAGAACCTTGCGTCTCCTCTTACTGCTGGTGAACGCAGAGCACTTTTGGACAGTGAGGGGTGGGAGAGGCAGGAGGCTGTCCTACCTTGCAGTTGTTTTCCCAGAAAGACGGCGGCAGCAGCCGAGTGGGAAGGTGAGTCCTCAGGATCCGTGGAGAGGGCATCGCTTGAGCTTTCTCCACACCTTTGAAATAACCCAAGAAGGAGCAATGCTCAGTACAAGCACTGCCGGTAGCCGTTATGTCCCAGGTGCTGTCCACGGTATTGCCTCACCCACCTGTCCTTCCACTCCACTCTGGACTTCATACTGGGGCTGTTGCTGCTACCTTCACTTTTTTTTTTTTTAAGATTTATTTTTTTTATTAGAAAGTCAGAGTTACACAGAGAGAGGAGGAGAGGTAGAGAGAGAGAGAGCGAGCGAGGAGAGAGAGAGAGAGAGAGAGGTCTTCCATCCTCTGGCCCACTTCCCAGTTGGCCTCAATGGCCAGAGGTGCACTGATCTGAAGCCAGGAGCCAGGAGTTTCTTCTGGGTCTCCCACGCGGATGCAGGGGCCCAAGGACTTGGGCCATCTTCTACTTCTTTCCCAGGCAATAGCAGAGAGCTGGATCATAAGTGGAGCAGGCGGGACTCGAACCGGTGCCCATATGGGATGCCGGTGCCTCAGGCCAGGGCGTTAGCCCACTGCACCACAGCACCGCCCCATGCTACCTTCACTTTGTAGAATCTCACATGTGAGAGCTGGAAGGACTGTCACATTAATTTGTTCTGGCACTTTAAGGATGAGGGGACGGAAGACATGAACCCTGTCTCCAAAGAGCTGCCGCCTTAGTGTAGGGGTCAGGGTTTCTTGCAGAGAGTGCCCGGGGCTGGGTCAAGGTAGTGCTGGGAGCTAAGACTTCAAGGACCTGGAGTGAATTGGTGCTGTGGCCACTAGGCGAGGGACCCTGACACACCACCGATGGGTAGAAACCCATGTATGAAGGGTCAGGAGGCCTGGCCAAATAGAGGGGGTATGGTTTCTAAGAATTGGAAATAAAAGCTAATAATAAAATAGCCTTTTATCTTAAATGTGCAGCCACAGGTTATGCCCTCAATGACTATTCATTGGGGCTGGTGTTGTGGCGTAGCAGGTAAAGCCTTCGCCTGCATGCCGACACCCTATATTGCCACTGGTTCATGTCCTGGCTTCTCCACTTCTGATCCAGCTCTCTGCTATGTCCTGGGAAAGCAGTAGAAGATGGCCCAAGTCCTTGGGACCCTGCATCCGTGTGGGAAACCCAGAAGAAGCTTCTGGCTCCTGGCTTCAGATCGGCACAGTGCCATCTGGGGAGTGAAGCAGTGAATGGAAGACCTCTCTGTCTCTACCTCTCTATATAACTCTGTGTTTCAAATAAATAAAATAAATCTTAAAAAAATGACTACTCATGCAACAGCCCTACCTCCCTGCGTAGTGTCAGATCTAGCCGATGACTGGGGCTCCTGTCCTAGGCAGCGACTCCAAGGACCCTGGATCACTGACCCCAGCTGGCTGAGGAGCTGGGCCGTCTCCTCTTGGTGCTAGGTTTTTCAGAGATGAGAACATGGACAGAAAAACTGCCTCTCTATACCCCTGCTGCTCTTTCTGGGGGCACCCTGGCCACATTTTGCTTTTTAGAACTTCAGTGCCAGGAGAGTTACTTTGAGTGCAATGTCCACTCTCATCATGCCTTGGCTCTCCCTTGGCTCTGGGTGCCGAAAAAAAAAAAAAAAAAAAAAAGAAAGACTTCCCAGAGAACTCAAACCATATGCTGTCTTCATTCCACCAGCCCAGGCTTGCAACCACAATCCCAGTTTGGTTCAGAAATTCACTTTAATTATCCTAGATTGGAAACGCTCCAGTGCAGGTGCAAGATAAGGAGCCAGACAAAACAGAGCTCTTAATACAAAATTACGAAACAAATGAGCAGCAAGCCACATGAGCAAGAGCGGGGAAGAAATAAACAGAGGAGTTAAGCCCTCAGTTCTTGGGTGCCTCAACAAGGAATATAAATAACTGTTTTGGGGCCGGCGCCGTGGCTCACTTGGTTAATCCTCCGCCTGCAGCGCTGGCATCCCATATGGGCGCCGGGTTCAAGTCCCTGTTGCTCCTCTTCCAATCCAGCTCTCTGCTGTGGCCCGGGAGTGTAGTGGAGGATGGCCCAGGTGCTTGGGCCCTGCACCCGCATGGCAGACCAGGAAGAAGCACCTGGCTCCTGGCTTCAGATCGGTGCAGCGCTGACCGTGGTGGCCCTTTGGGGGTGAACCAACGGAAGGAAGACCTTTCTCTCTGTCTCTCTCTCTCTCTCACTATCTATATCTCTACCTGTCAAATAAATAAAAGTAAAAAATAAAAAACTATGTTTAAAATGTGCAGAGACCCAAGAGAGAAAATTGAAAACATAGGCAAGGAGCAAGAGAATGCCAAACAGATGGGGTGATTTATGAGATTCCAGCAGTAAAAACCCTTGATGAATGGGTTTTGCAGACATAGCTGAAAGAAAAACAGTGGCCAAGCTAAGGAAGCACAAGGCAGAGACACAGGGATGAAAACCATGTGAAGAAAGGTGATGGCGGACGGAAGGGAAAGGTAGAGTGGGGAAGGACTGTCAGTCTCAGCCTACGGAGCAAGACCCAGCTTATCTGCCAGGAGGTTGGACCTGGAACTGGTCCACTTCCTCCCTGGTGTTGGTGGTCCTCATCTCTCTCCCATCACACCTGGAGTCAGTAGCTACCCGGTGCCTAAAAGAGGCTTGGTCTTCTAATGGGGAAGTCTACGCGTGGTCATCACAGCCACTCCTGTGTGTCAGCAGTGACAACCAGGTAGCACCTGTGACGCTCATGGTGGGCTCGGTCCTGCTCCAGCCCCAGAGTTTTCTGTTCATGAACCCTACAGCAGACACCCCGTGGTGTGGGGCTTTATATAAAACAGTCCACTAGAGTTTTATTTATATTTTCTCCTTTCTCTCTCTTATCGTTGGGTTGCCTGTCCTCCCCAGGGCACTTGCGTGGTTGCTCAGACTCTGGGTGGTGTGAGAGCACATGCATGAGTCACAGAGGGTACCGTGGAATCTCTCTCCAGCATCGGTGTGTGGCTGCAAAGATCATGAAGCTGGGGCTGTGTGTTGCCTCTTGGGATACAGGATTGAGAAGGCACCCTTCTGGCCTCTTTGTAGCTCACCTAGTGGGGCAGGCCATGGCCATCCTCTACTGAAAGTCTACAGTTGCAGGAGTTGATGCGAGAAAAACTATGTTCTGTTTCTGATGGACACTCTGCTCCTCACTAGAGAGCTTGCCTGGGCTTTTCTCTCTCCTTTCAATCTCCTAGTGTCAGAGGTAAGACAACAGCGTTAGGGGCAGGGTGCAGAAGTAGGATCAAAAGCTGGGTGTGGGTGATCCAGGGATGGGGCCTGAAGAAGTGGTGCAGTCACGCCTGACACTTAGGTCCCTCTGCTAAGTGCCAGGCACCTGTTTCAAGCTTTTTAAAAACATGCAGTTAAGTCCACTTAATCCTCAAAGCAAATCTTTGTAGAAGGCATTCATTCTCCTGACATTTTGAGGTTAAGTAACTCAAGGCAGGTGCTGGGGTGAGTGATGCAGTCAGGACTGTCAGGATTGAAACCCTGGCGATCCATTTTTTTTTTTAAAGATTTAGTTATTTATTTGTCAGGCAGAGTTTCAGAGAGGCAGAGGCAGAGAGAGAGAGAGAGAGAGAGAGAGAGAGAGAGGTCTTCCATCCAGTGGTTCACTCTCTAAATGGCCTCAATGGCCAGCTGGGAGCCAGGAGCCAGGAGCTTCCTCTGGGTCTCCCACGTGGGTGCAGGGGCCCAAGGACTTGGGCCATCCTCCGCTGTTTTTCCAGGCACACTATCAGGGATCTGGATCGGAAGTGGAGCAGCCAGGACTCAAACCGGTACCCATGTGGGATACAGATGGCAGCTTCACTCACTGCACCACAGTGCCAGCCCTCTGCTTGTCTTTTCAAGCTTCATTTTTGTGGTCTAAAAAGAAAAAAACTTACAGGCTGAACATTACCCAAACAAGGATTCTCTATGGAACAGAAATAATTGCCTCTAAATGCACTGTGTGTGTGTGTGTGTGTGTGTGTGTGACTTAGGTCATCTCTGAGGGGACAGGGCTTTGGGGGATGTGATATGAAGAGAAGAGGGGTGTGAATTGCTCAGAAATAGCCCACACCTTCCCCCTGTGTCCACAGTTGCCCGTGACCCCAGGGAGGGTTTAGGAAGAAAATGCGGAGAAGGTGACTAACCTCAGCCTGCATCCTTCTTTCTTGATGACTCACTTTTGCCTGCGAGATAAATGTATAGAAAGAGGAAGGACAAGAAGGAGATGAAGGAAGTAGTTGTAGAAATGGACGGAGGGAGAGAGAAGAGACCAAGTGGAGGGGGTGGGGAGGAGAGGGGAAGCGCCCAGAGCAGGATGGAGGAGAGTGAGAAAAAGAGATGGAGAGGGACTGGTGCTGTGGCACAGAGGGTTAACGCCCTGGCCTGCAGTGCCAGCATCCCATATGGGCGCAGGTTCTAGTCGCGGCTACTCCACTTCTGATCCAGCTCTCTGCTGTGGCCTGGGAAAGCAGTGGAAGATGGCTCAAGTCCTGGGGCTCCTGCACCCACATGGGAGACCCGAAAGAAGCTCCTGGCTCCTGGCTTTGGATCAGCACAGCTCTGGCTGTTGCGGCCAAATGGGGAGTGAACCAGCAGATGGAAGACCTCTCTCCTCTCTCTGCCTCTCCTTCTCTCTCTGTGTAACTCTGACTTTCAAATAAATAAATCTTAAAAAAAAAAATGGAGAAACGGGAGAGCGAGGAGAGAGGGAAGGAAGGCCCCCGGGAGGTCTCACCAGAGGGCTGGGGTGGCCGAGCCCACTCGATGAAAGGGTGGCGGTGCTGAATGAGGGCCCGCTGGCACTTCTCCACGTCCCCGTTCTGTTCGATCATGTCCACGATTTCCTGGATCCACGTCGTCCCTGCGGTCAGAGGGAAGGGTGGGACCTTCCTCTGGTGTGAGGGCTGGGGTAGCCGCCCACCTGCCCTCGGGACGGACATCCAGGGGATGAGCTTGGAGCTCTGTGGGGGGCAGCAGAGGTGAGGCTCGCACACGCACGAGCAGTGTGCAGCAGTGCGCCGGTGGGGAGGCCTCGGACGCCGCTGGCCCATCCCCAGGGGAAGCATGCGCAGAGAGCCCGCCTCGCGAACCTAAGACGGAGCAGGTTTCTGTCTTCGGGGTCAGCAGGGCCAGGGTGTGCTGCCCCCCGCAGTCACCTGATTTGGGGTAGGTGCAGATGAGGAGATCGTCCGGCTTGGCCTCAAAGCTCTGGATCTGGCCCCAGTTGTCCACAATTGCAGCCTGCAGGGGCACCCCTTCCACCTCCCGCAGCTGTGTCTGCTTCCCCGGTCCTGTGGCCAGCGCCATCGCGGCTCAGGGTGGGCGGGTCCTGCGGGAAGAGAACAGAGGAGATTTGTTAACAAATGTGGTAACATACACATAACATCAAATTGGCCGTTTTAACCGGTTTTAGGTGCACAGTCAGTGGCACTGGTCCGTTCACACATACAGCACCCCCATCCTTCTCCAGAAGTCCCCCAACTTCCCAAACGGAAATTCGTGTCCGTTAAACACTGATTCCTCAGCCCCTGGCAAGCACCGTTCTGCTTGGTCTGTGGACTCTGGATAGCGGATAGAGGAGGACTCGCAGTACCACTGTGGCACCTGGCAGGATGGCTTCCTTAATCCTGGGCAATATTCCATGTGTGCCGGCGCCTTATTTTGTTCGTCCATTCATTCATCCACAGACACTGGGGTCGCCTCTACTTTTCAGCTACTCTGAACCACGCTGTTATGAATGTGGGCACACAAACATCTGTCTGAATTTCTGCTTTCAATACCCTTGGGGGTCTGTCCAGATATGGAGTTTCTGGGTCATGTTGTAGTTCTATTTTTAATTTTTGGAGGATCAGCCAGGCCATTTTTCATAGCAGCTTTCACCATTTTACATCTCTTATCAGCTGGGTAGGGTTCCAATTTCTCCAACGTGTTACCAGCACTTGTTATTTTTCTGTGTTCTTTTTTTTTTTTTAAAAGATTTTATTTATTTATTTGAGAGGTAGAGTCACAGACAGTAAGAGGAAGAGACAGAGAGAGAGGTCTTCCTTCCATTGGTTCACTCCCCAAAGGGCTACAATGACCAGAACTGCGCTGATTTGGAGACAGGAGCTTCTTCCTGGTTTCCCATGTGGGTGCAGGGGCCTAAGTACCTGGGCCATCTTCTACTGCTTTCCCAGGCCACAGCAGAGAGCTGGATTGGAAGAGGAGCAGCCAGGACTTGAACTGGCTCCCATAGGGGATGCTGGTGCAGCAGGCGTAGAATTAACCTACTGTGCCACGGTGCCGGCCCCTTTTCCGTGTTCTTGATTGTTTGCTACCCTGATGAGCATGAGGTGCTATCTCTTTGGGGTTTTAATTTGTGTTTATTTAATAACTAATGATGTTGAGACACCTCTCCTGTGCTGATCGGCCATTTGTGTGTCTTCTTTGAGGAAATGTTGGTTTGTCCTTTGTCCATTTCTGCTTTTTGTTTTTTCTCTCATTCTATGTTAAAAGAAGACTTTTGAAATGCACACAAAAAAGAGGGAGGCAGAAGTGGGCCACTATAACACAAGGTCAATTGGCTACTATGACTGTGGAAGACTGCTGCTAATAATGAAATACAAAAGTTAAAATCTGTCGTTTATTGAACACTTCAATTTGCCATGAGCTAGATTGATTGCCTTCTATATGTTAATTCACTTATCAAAATAGAGAATTTATTTGAAAGGCACAGTGACATACACACATACACACAGAGAAAAATCTTTTTTTTAAGATTTATTTATTTGAAAGTCAGAGTTATACACAGAGAGAAGGAGAGACAGAGAGAGAGAGAGAGAGAGAGAGAAAGAGAGAGGCCTTCCAACTGCTGGTTCACTCCCCAGTTAGCCACAACAGCTAGAGCTGTGCAAATCTGAAGCCAGGAGCCAGGAGCTTCCTCTGGGTCTCCCATGCAGGTGCAAGGGCCCAAGGACTTGGGCCATCTTCCACTGCTTTCTCTGGCCATAGCAGAGAGCTGGATTGGAAGTGGAGTAGCCGGGACTCGAACCAGTGCCTTGCCTATATAGGATATCAGCACTGCAGGCGGCGGCTTTACCTGCTACGCCACAGCACCGGCCCCTAGAGAGATATCTTTTACTCACTGGACCACTCTCCAAATGACCAAAACAGCTGGGGTAGGGCTGGGCCAGGCTGAAGTCTCTGCCCTCCAGGTCTCCCATGTGGGTGGCAGAGACTCAAGCACTTGTGCCACCATTGCTGCCTCTCCGGTGCATGAGCAGGAAGCTGGATTGGAAGCGGAGAAATGGGCTCTGCAACCAGGCACTCTTGTGTGGGATGCAGACATTCCAAGCAGTGGCTTAACTAGCTGTGCCACACCACCCGTGTCTCCCTTAACTCATTTGAACTCTTACACAATAGGAGCACTGGAACTGTAGCGCTGAAGAGGTCCTTACAGAAAACGTAACAGGGAGTGATTACCGGAAATCGAATGAAAGGACCTGGCTAGCTGTCCATTGACTGCCCAGTATAGTGAGGCCAGCTTTCACAGTGGCTTCTGCTTGAAGAATGAGTCAGGCCCAGAAAATTAAAGACAAATTCTTTCTGAAAAATTTCATAAAAAGCTGCTGCATTTGCAATTTGTCAAAGCAGGTGGAGTTGGGCAATACTTGAGTTTATGGTGTGATCAGCTTTGGGGAGGAGGAGGTGGGAGCCAACAGGACTTGCTGTGCTGGGCCCTTTTAGCCAACAACACAGTTTTGTGATAAAGGGATAATGACCTTCTTTGTAAATGCAAGGAAATGGAGGGTTGCATGATAGGTAACTTGCCCCGGATGGTAGCTGATGTCTGTCTACAAATCCCTTGTCCCTTGTTCCTTCCAAAAACTTGCCTTTGGGGCTTCAAAGAAGTTATAGTGAATACATAAAAATACAAATCATGCATGTTTATGGGGTAATGTGTGATGCTTCACTACATGCATACATTGTGCAATGCTCAAATCAAATGGTGAAAACACTCAAATTTCTTTCTTCTAGCTTCAAAAAACCCAAAATACACAGCACATCATTGTTATCTGTGATCACCCTGCTTGTGCAAGAGAATACCAGAACTTATTTCTGCCTCTTGGTTTTACAATCGAAGTTACTGCCAAGACCTGGTCCTGGATCAACCAGGGGGACTGGCAAGCACGGGGCACTCACACGTCGGGTGGCAGTGGATGAACCTGGCGGAGGTTCAAGCCGTAAGAACGACTCCACCATCACGGCTTCCTTGGAGGCCAACGGGAACCCCAGCCAAGGCAGGGCTTCTGGGAGCTGAGGATGGTTGACTAAGAAGCAGTGGGGGCTCCGCCCTGCAGCTGAGGAGCTGGACTCCGCCCACACCCGGAGTGAGCTGGGAAGGGATTCTTCTCTGAGCCTCCAGGAGGGGACACAGCCCAGCCATCACCTTGATTCTTCCCAGGGACCCCTGTCCAGACTTCTGCTTAAAGAAGTTTCTGCTAAGAAACTCTTTAAGCTGCAGACTCGGTGATCAATTGTTATGGCAGCAATAGAAAACTATTTATGCATACACCTGCATTGCTCCCCAAAGCTAGCTGGTCACCATATGGACTTTTTTTTTTTTTTTTTTAGATTTATGTTTATTTATTTGAAAGACAGAGTTACAGAGAGAGGTAGAGACAGAGAGAGAGAGAGGTCTTCCATCTGCTGGTTCACTCCCCAGATGTCCACAATGGCTGGACCTGTGCCGATCCAAACCCAGGAGCCAGGAGCTTCTTCCAGGTCTCCCACATGGGTGCAGGAGCCCAAGCACTCGGACCATCTTCCACTGCTTTCCCAGGCCATAGCAGAGAGCTGGATCGGAAGAGGAGCAGCCGGGACTAGAACCTGCGCCCATATGGGATGCTGGCGCATCAGGCCAGGGCTTTAACCCCCTGCACCACAGTGCCGGCCCCCACCATATGGACTTAATTATGTCCTCCGAACTCTCCCCAGCCCGTTACGTGTCTCTCAGAGACAGGGCTTTTACGAGGTGGTCAAGTTAACACGAGGCCATGGGGCAAGCCCTAATTCAGTCTGACAAGAGCAGATCTGGACACACAGGGACTGAAGCACACAGAGGGAAAATCAGACAAGGAGGACCATCCACAAGCCAGAGACACAGGCCTTAGGGAGCACCACACCTGCCAGTGTCTCGTCTTCAGATTCCGGCCTCCGGAACTGAGAAGCAACACTGTTCTGCTGCCTCGGTTCCCTCGCCTGGTATTAAGTTACAGCAGCCTGAGCTAACAGACACACATACCTTTGGTTGAAGCTCAGAAACCCACTTTTTCTTTTGGAATAAATGAATAAATAAAAATATTTTAAAATAAATGAAATAATCATTAGTCTTGACCTTCCTATATTAGTTGTACCACTGCATAAACAGATAGTAGAGGTCACTTCTCTTTATAGAATCATTCCAACAAAGACATGAACAATAAATTAAAGGATTGTTATGTTCCTTGCTGCCCTTAATGAATTAAAGAATCTAGGCAGTTGACACTCATGACTTTTTTTTTGACAGGCAGAGTGGACAGTGAGAGAGAGAGAGACAGAGAGAAAGGTCTTCCTTTTCTGTTGGTTCACCCCTCAATGGCTGCTATGGCCGGCGCACCAGGCTGATCTGAAGCCAGGAGCCAGGTGCTTCTCTTGGTCTCCCATGTGGGTGCAGGGCCCAAGGACTTGGGCCATCCTCCACTGCCTTCCCAGGCCACAGCAGAGAGCTGGCCTGGAAGAGGGGCAACCGGGACAGAATCTGGCGCCCCGACCGGGACTAGAACCTGGGGTGCCAGCGCCACAGGCGGAGGATTAGCCTATTGAACTGCGGCGCCGGCACACACTCATGACTTCTACCATCACAAAAAGAAAGATGATTGGGGCCAGTGCTGTGGCTTAGTGGGTAAAGCTACCACCTGCAGTGCTGGCATCCCATATAGGTGCTGGTTCTAGTCACGGATGTTCCACTTCTGATCCAGCTCGCTGCTACGACCTGGGAAAGCAGTAGAAGATGGCCCAAGTTCTTGAGCTCCTGCACCCACATGGGAGACCCAGAGGAAGCTCTTAGTTCCTGGCTTCAGATGGGCACAGCTCTGGCTGTCTCTCTCTCCCTGTGCCTCTCCTTCTCTTTCTGTGTAACTCTGACTTTCAAATAAATAAATAAATCTTTAAAAAGAAAGAAATTCAATCAAATGTTGTGTAGTTCTTGATGAAGAACACACAACCCAAGAAGCAGTCCTGTCAAAAACACTGAACGTAAATCTCTCGCTGAATACCAATTCATGGGAAATTCAGAGAACACAGGGACAT